CCCAACGGATCAAATTCAAAATCCTAACACTGACGTACAAATCTGTCCATTATACTGCCCAAAACTACATCACCGACCTAATATCCAAGTACCACCCTACACGCACTCTCTGCTCCTCACAAGACCTCCTTCTCTCTAGTTCCCTGGTCTCCTCCTCCCATGCCCGCCTCCAGGACTTCTCCAGGGCGTCACCCATACTCAGGAACTCCCTATCCCAATCCATCAGACTATCACCTACTCTCCTCTCCTTTAGGCACACCCTGAAAACCCACCTCTTCAGGGAAGCCTACCCCACCCCCTGCTAATTCTTGACCTCCTCCACTCTTCCTACCACTCCCCACAGCTATTTCCTCCTGTACCACTATCCCCTCCTTCCTAGATTGTAAGCTCCAAGGAGCACGGCCCTCGAACCCCTCGTCTATTGTATTGTTAGTGTACTGTCGCATATTCTGTCTCCCATTGTAATGTACAGCACTGAGCAAACTGTTGGCGCTTTATAAATACTGTATAATAATAATAAGAAGCATTTTTTAAAGATAAGCATAGGAGAGCCTCCCAAATGTCCAGAATGCACTGAAAAGTTGTAAATTATTAACTATTTCAGACTGTTTCAGAGAAATACAGAGAGTAGAAGTAGAGACAGCAGTATGTGTTGAGATTAGCTTAGGTGTGAGTTGTTCATTAACATTTCTTTTATTTCCAAGGGTGGGAAAGGTGTCTGGTGGAGTGAGTCATTAAGGCCACCTGGCAGGGGGTCTGCATGAGGAATTTGAGGTGTGAATGGTCATTAGCATATCTTTTGTTTCCAAGGGTGGGAGAGGTCTGAGGTGTGAATTAGTCATTACAATGTGTGACAAGCTTGGTGGGAACATCCTATGTTCAGTGTTTTGTCCATCTGAGTACCTTGAAAATGCTTTGCATGCATTTTTCATGACAGCATCAGGAACTGGAAGAGTTAAAAAAAATTTCAGATGCAAATGCTTACAAACGCGATTTGCCGCGTTTAGCCTCGTTTACAAGCGGTTTGCGTTTGAAGTGCTGATAAAATCGACTGCTGAAGTTTTCTGCGTTCAAAAAAACAACTGTAAACTCAAATGCCTGTAAACGACTGTAACCGATGATGGACACATGGACATGGACACATAGGAAAACATTAGGGTGAGTTCAGGGGCTGCTGAAAAAAACACTGAACAGCTCCTAAATTTGAGTTTATCAGCTGCAGTATACATGAGCCCTTAGCATTAACTTCTTGTAAGCCATCTCCCAGAAGTCTGCATTGCCTTGTTGCATCACAGAAGAGGGTGTGATGGGGTATGTTCACCACTCTGGACCACACCTCCCTCATTACCATACCACCTTCCACCCACTTTCTATCTGATTGTACAGTCTCTTTTAGCTCTTCCATCAGCTATGTAGTACAAGGGCCTGTCTGATTTGATACAGATTGAATGGATTGTTCAGGTGGGTCATCCTGTTCCATAGTTCTAGTAAATCTAAAGGAAATTGTACAGAGATTGTACAATCAGATTGCATAGTGTATGGCCATTTTTATATAAGTGCATAGGAGCGAGTAGACAAAGCCCCGGGGGGCCTACAGAGTTGTAAGCCCACATTCACATTTCCATGAACACGTGTTTGTTTTGGAGTGTTTTCACTCATCACACAAAGGGCTACCCTACATGCAATAATCACTCCAGGAGAGCTCCAGAACTTTTCTGTAGTGGTGTATTACCGCAGTTTTTGGTGCATATGCTGCACTTGGGGTGCCTTTAACATAATGACACCATAAACAGGATGCACATTTGCATGTTTCTGAAATGCATAGCTAAGCACGCATTTTCTGTGCAGATCGCCATGTGGCTGGAAACACACAGATGTGAATGCAGCCTCATTGTTCTTGTGTAAACAAACCAATTTCACTTTCAGACCCCATTCACACTGAAAGTAGAGGGAGTGCGTGTTTTTTGGCTCGTTTCTCAAGTGACACACATAGGGTAGCCCATTGATTTCAATAGTGTGTGCTACATGTGGCAAAGAAGCTCATGTGATATTTTGATGTGGTGTGACTGCATGTTTTTTACTGCATATTTTGCTGCATTTGTCACCCATTTTTTCATGTGGCAAAATGTGTGTTTGCTTTTGTGTTTTGGTGGCCATTAACAATTGACACTGAAAGCACAATTAGGTGTATAAAGGTGGCCATACACTATACAATCTGATTGTACAATCTTCTTTAGATTTACTAAAACGATATAATAGAAGGACACAGCATTTATCCAATCACTCTGTATCCAATCAGGCAGGCTTTTGCCCTAACTCAGAGGTGTCCTGTGGGCTGCATGCGGCCTGTAGGGATGCTGGGGAAGCCAGGCAAGTGCACACATGGAGAGATGCCAGGGATATTGTGAACAAATAGTTGATGAGTGAAGGGTGTATGTTTTAATGAAGTCAGTGCAGGATGCATGTGCTAATGAGGTCAGCTGGTAATTTCCTTCCTGTGTCTTACTGGCTTTTCTGTCCTAAATCTACATGCCAGCACTGGTGAAGCTTTCTAAGATATCCAGCAAGGGCTAAGGTAAGGACTTGTTCTCAAAATCAAAGAAAGCTTTCATTTTTCTGTAATTGAGGTACATTAATGGTATATTGGTACATAGAAGAACTGGATTTAAAATAAAAAAAAAAAGATGAACTTAGCCTTTAAGCAAATCAAACCCTATCACTTTCTCTCCCTCTCCCAATTTGCATAGCTTTTTAAAAGCAAGAAAAACTAATATGAAATGCAATAGTGATAGGTCTTCTAAATCATACTAAATACATACATAGGACTGCTGCCACTATGGACACAACAAATAAATGCCTTACAATACTCAATTTACATCCACACCCCTGTATACCTCCACTAGAGCAGTGAAAGTGACAGGCCTCTTAAAGTGGTCGTAAATCTCAGACATAAAAATGAACAAAGCATATTCTGCTATAGTGTGTACTTGCCTCAATCCAAAGCACCAAGTGTAATTTATCTCTGTTGTCTCCTTCCTCTGCTATCTCCATGAGTCACTGCTGTCTGAATGAGTTGACACCAGACAATCTCAGGTGATGGCCCTGCCCCCCTCCAGCACACAGCAGGTGATTGACAGCCTGGGCTAGTCACTTAATTGGATACATGCAGGGGTTTACAGCCTCTTTAACCACTTCCCATCAGTGCAGGAGTGGGTTGCCATTCATAAAAGGCGCCAACCATTTTAGCCTGTGCGCGCTCCTTGGCATCACGAACACCGATTGATGTACTGGACCTCTGTGTGAGGTCCCAATCATGTGATCACTGATTGGACAATCAGTGATCACATGAATAGTAGTAAGCAAGATGTCACTTTCTGACATCATTGCTTACTACTTGTGAAATCTGTGAATGATCACAGAGGTCACATGGTACAAGGCTATTCACAACAGCCTTGTACCATATGACAAGCTGTGACCAATTACAGCTCACACAGTATTTCTCAATGGCTGCAAGAATGCAGTCAGAGAGAAAGAGAAATTATTGCTTTTACAGCCTTTATTGGTATAAAAGCAATCAGTGTAAAAAAAGAAAAAAAAATCTTCATCACCCCCCACAAGTAGTACAGTGTCACTATGGTGACACTGTACTGCTAGGGTGACAATATGTTAAAAAAAAAAACAAACAAAACCACATAAATAATCTAAAAAATAAAATAAAAATGTAAAACATTTTTTTTTTAAATTATAATGTTTCATTAAAAACTAATTTTTTTTTTTTTTTACTAAAAAGTAGAGATGAGCGAATTATTCTAAAATTCGATTCGGCTGATTCGCCGAATTTGAGGAAGAAATTCGATTCGATGCGAATTTATTCGCTGCGAATTTAACTTATAAAAAGGGTTTCTAGGCTTCAGAGAGCCTTTAAATTTAGTGCAGAACACTGTACCTTTAATTTAAATGCCCTTGGAGATGAGGAAGGAGAAGGAGAAGGAGAAGGATGAGAAGAAGGAGAAGGAGAAGGATGAGAAGAAGGAGAAGGATGAGAAGAAGGAGAAGGATGAGAAGAAGGAGAAGGAGAAGGAGAAGGATGAGAAGAAGGAGAAGGATGATGAGAAGGAGAAGGAGAAGGATGAGAAGAAGGGAGAAGGATGAGAAGAAGGAGAGGAGAAGGATGAGAAAAAGGAGAAGGATGAGAAGAAGGATGATGAGAAGAAGGAGAAGGATGAGAAGAAGGATGAGAAGAAGGAGAAGGATGAGAAGAAGAAGGATGAGAAGAAGAAGAAGGATGAGAAGAAGGAGAAGGATGAGAAGAAGGAGAAGGATGAGAAGAAGAAGAAGGATGAGAAGAAGAAGAAGGATGAGAAGAAGGAGAAGGATGAGAAGAAGAAGAAGGATGAGAAGAAGAAGAAGGATGAGAAGAAGGAGAAGGATGAGAAGAAGAAAAAGGATGAGAAGAAGAAGAAGGATGAGAAGAAGGAGAATTCCAAGCCGGCAAAAAGTGTATCTGCAGAGCTCCTCTATTTCTGACAGATACACTTTTTGCCGGCTTGGAATTCTTCTTATTTTCATCCTACTTCTTCCTCTTCTTCTTCTTCTTCTTCATCCTCGATCCTCAGAAGAAGAAGAAGAGGAGAGGATGAGGAAGAAGAAGAAGAAGAAGAAGTAGGATGAAAATAAGAGAAGAATTCCAAGCCGGCATTTTGCCGGCTTGGAATTCTTCTTATTTTCATCCTACTTCTTCTTCTTCTTCTTCTTCTTCTTCATCCTCATCCTCTTCTTCTTCTTCTGAGGATGAGGATGAGGATGAAGAAGAAAGAAGAAGAAGAAGTAGGATGAAAATAAGAAGAATTCCAAGCCGGCAAAAAGTGTATCTGCAGAGCTCCGCTATGTGTATCTGCAGAGCTCCGCTATTTCTGACAGTTCTCTGACATTCAATCCATACAGCGGTTGAAACATTGTATCTTTGTTGTCATTTCCATAAGATGGAAACAAATAGATACAATGTTTCAACCGCTGTATGGAGTGAATGTCAGAGAACTGTCAGAAATAGCGGAGCTCTGCAGATACACTCTTAGCGGAGCTCTGCAGATACACTTTTGCCGGCGGCTTGGAATTCTTCTTATTTTCATCCTATCCTCAGAAGAAGAAGAAGAGGATGAGGATGAAGAAGAAGAAGAAGAAGAAGAAGAAGTAGGATGAAAAAATAAGAATTCCACAGCCGGAAAAGCCGAAGCAGAGCAAAAAGTGTATCTGCAGAATAGAGCTCCTCTATTTCTGACAGATACACTTTTTGCCGGCTTGGAATTCTTCTTATTTTCATCCTACTTCTTCTTCTTCTTCTTCTTCATCCTCATCCTCATCCTCAGAAGAAGAAGAAGAATGAAAAAGAAGAAGAAGAATGAAAAAAAGAATGAAAAGAAGAATGAAAAGAAGAAGAAATGAAAAGAAGAATGAGAAGAATGAAAAGATTCTTCTTCTTCTTCTTTTCATTCTTCTTTTCATTCTTCTTCTTCTTCTTTTCATTCTTCTTCCTCTTCTTCTTTTTCATTCTTCTTTTCATTCTTCATTCTTCTTTTCATTCTTCTCATTCTTCTTCTCATTCTTCTTTTCATTCTTCTTCTCATTCTTCTTTTCATTCTTCTTCTTCTTTTCATTCTTCTTTTCATTCTTCTCATTGTTCTTTTCATTCTTCTTCATTCATTCTTCTTTTCATTCTTCTTCTTTTCATTCATTCTTTTTTCATTCTTCTTCTTCTTTCTTCTCATTCTTCTTTTCATTCTTCTCATTCTTCATTTTTCATTCTTCTTTCTCATTCTTCTTTTCATTCTTCTTCTCATTCTTCTTTTCATTCTTCTTCTTCTTTTCATTCTTCTTTTCATTCTTCTCATTCTTCTTTTCATTCTTCTATTCATTCTTCTTCTCATTCTTCTTTTCATGAAGAAGAAAAGAAGAATGAGAAGAATGAAAAGAAGAATGAAAAGAAGAAGAATGAGAAGGAAGAATGAAAAGAAGAATTGAAAAGAAGAAGAAGAAGAATGAAAAGAAGAAGAAGAAGAATGAAAAGAAGAATGAGAATAATGAAAAGAAGAAGAAGGCGATGAAAAGAATGAAAAGAAGAAGAATGAAAAAAAGAGAGAGAATGAAAAGAAGAATGAAGAAGAAGAAGAATGAAAAGAAGAAGAAGAAGAAGAATGAAAAGAAGAATGAAAAGAAGAATGAGAAGAATGAAAAGATTCTTCTTCTTCTTCTTCTTTCATTCTTCTTTTCATTCTTCTTCTTCTTTTCATTCTTCTTCTTCTTCTTTTCATTCTTCTTTCATTCTTCTCATTCTTCTTTTCATTCTTCTCATTCTTCTTCTCATTCTTCTTTTCATTCTTCTTCTCATTCTTCTTTTCATTCTTCTTCTTCTTTTCATTCTTCTTTTCATTCTTCTCATTCTTCTTTTCATTCTCCTTTTCATTCTTCTTCTCATTCTTCTTTTCATTCTTCTTCTTCTTTTCATTCTTCTTTTCATTCTTTTCTCATTCTTCTTTTCATGAAGAAGAAAAGAAGAATGAGAAGAATGAAAAGAAGAATGAAAAGAAGAAGAAGAAGAATGAAAAGAAGAATGAGAAGAAGAATGAAAAGAAGAATGAAAAGAAGAATGAGAAGAATGAAAAGAAGAATGAGAAGAATGAAAAGAAGAATGAAAAGAAGAAGAAGAATGAAAAGAAGAAGAAGAATGAAAAGAAGAATGAAAAGAAGAAGAATGAAAAGAAGAAGAAGAAGAATGAAAAGAAGAATGAAAAGAAGAAGAAGAAGAATGAAAAGAAGAAGAAGAAGAATGAAAAGAAGAATGAAAAGAAGAAGAAGAAGAATGAAAAGAAGAAGAAGAAGAATGAAAAGAAGAATGAGAAGAATGAAAAGAAGAAGAATGAAAAGAAGAATGAAAAGAAGAAGAAGAATGAAAAGAAGAAGAAGAAGAATGAAAAAGAAGAATGAAAAGAAGAAGAAGAATGAAAAGAAGAATGAAAAGAAGAATGAGAAGAATGAAAAGATTCTTCTTCTTCTTCTTTTGATTCATTCTTCTTTTCATTCTTCTTCTTCTTTTCTTTCTTCTTCTTCTTCTTTGAATTCTTCTTTTCATTCTTTCATTCTTCTTTTCATTCTTCTCATTCTTCTTCTCATTCTTCTTTTCATTCTTCTTTCTCATTCTTCTTTTCATTCTTCTTCTTCTTTTCATTCTTCTTTTCATTCTTCTCATTCTTCTTCTCATTCTTCTTTTCATTCTTCTTCTTCTTTTCATTCTTCTTCTTCTTCTTTTCATTCTTCTTCTTCTTCTTTTCATTCTTCTTTTCATTCTTCTCATTCTTCTTCTCATTCTTCTTTTCATTCTTCTTCTCATTCTTCTTTTCATTCTTCTTCTTCTTTTCATTCTTCTCATTCTTCTTTTCATTCTTCTTCTCATTCTTCTTTTCATGAAGAAGAAAAAAGAAGAATGAGAAGAATGAAAAGAAGAATGAAAAGAAGAAGAAGAATGAAAAGAAGAATGAGAAGAAGAATGAAAAAGAAGAATGAAAAGAAGAATGAGAAGAATGAAAAGAAGAATGAAAAGAAGAAGTATTCCAGTACAGCAAAAAGTGTATCTGCAGAGAGCTCCGCTATTTCTGACAGTTCTCTGACAGTTCCTTCACATTTACAGCGGTTGAAAACATTGTATCTATTTCCGAAATAAAAACATCTGTATCCTAAATGGAAACAAATAGATACAATGTTTCAAACCGCTGTACATGTGAAGGAACTGTCAGAGAACTGTCAGAAATAGCGGAGCTCTCTGCAGGGACACTTTTGCCGGCTGATCGGGGAAAAATCCGATTCGCGCACCCGAAGTATGCTAATATTCGGATTTCGCCGCGAATCGAATTTTTCCTGAAATTCGAAACGAATTCCAATTCGCCTGGTTCGATTCGCTCATCTCTACTAAAAAGATAACTGAATACATTCTGGCCAAGATTTATGAAGAAAGATTATTTATTTGCAAAATGTTATAAGAAAAAACACTTTTTTTTCAAGATTTTTGGACTTTTTCATTTATATAGCAAAAAAATAAAAATCCCCAGAGGTAAATAAATACCACCAAAATAAAGTTTTATCTGTCTCAAAAAAATACTACAAAATTCATATTGGTACAGTGTTGCATGACAGCGCAATTGTTATTCAAAGTGTGAGAGCGCTGAAAGCTGAAAATTGGCCTGGGCAGGAAGGGGGTAAAAGTGTCCAGACTTGAAGTGGTTAAGACTAAGGACGTTCTATAAAAGTGATGAGTCTGATTCCTGTTGGGCTCCTGTTCTTCCCACTAAGCCATGTTCCCTCTAGCAGTGTCACGGTTGGTGCAAAAAGCTATGCAACAGCTTTGAAAAGGCAGAGGATGTGTGTAAATTGTTCCTTCCCAGATCATACATGATCAAGGTGATTTTCTAAAAATTCTTCCTTAACCTCTTGGCACCAAGTTCCTGCACATTTGGTTCTATTAAAAAAAACATATGTGCTGAGAGCGTGCACCCTGGGCGCACCCAGCACACACATTCGGTACTCCCGGAAAGGTCCTGATCTCCTCTTTCGATCAGGACCTTTCCCGATCATGTGACCGCCGTGACAGCGAATCACAGCGGTCACATGACCTTAAAACTCCGCCCGGCTTCTGGAACCCTTAAAGGGCCTGGAGGCGCCGGGGCCAAGGGTTTAAAGTAGAACTAAAGGTAAGTGCAAGGTTTTTTTTGCTATTTTTGTCCCATTGGAGATATTTCATTTCACTTCCAATCCCATAATCAAAATGGGAAGTGTGAGAAAATCACTCCAAAGTGAAGGAATCTTTGGTTGTCACCAGAACTAGTGTCCTCTTTGGAAGATTTTCTTTTCTGGTGAAAACTCAATATTTGGTATTTTCTTCCACTTTCACTCTCAGTTATAACAGTAAATAGGGCAAATAGAAAAGGTGATTCTCCCAGGTGTCTAATCCCTCTCCCCTCTGACCAAACTACAGCAGGAATTATAACTCTGTGGGTATATCTTTTAAAAACGGCCCCTAAAGCTTTATGTCTGAACAAAGGAAAGCAAGTTTTTAAGAAAAATAAATTTGCACATGCTGATTGGGATCTATTGTAAGTTTAATCATTGCAAATATTAAAAGTGTTACTAAACCCACAAAAGTGAAATAAGTCTGTATATGCAGTACACGTTTGTTATGCTCATTGTGGAACATATTGTGCAAAAAGGATGTTTGATCCTGTCTTCTCTGATCCACCCTTTCTTCCAGTGTCTCCTAAATATCTCGTGATAGAACAGAGGCTTGGGGCAAGCTGCACATGCTCAGTTTAGTGAGTATTGCTAGATAGGTTTTTTTTTTCTTGGGAGGGTGCATGTGATCAGCACAGGGCCAATCAGCACTGTCCAGACAGAGAGTCAGTGATCCTGCATCCTCCTACAGGAGAATGAAAACTTCTCCTACAAGCTTTAACCAGTGCTCTGCTGGACACTGATAGAAGTCACAAGACTGCTCTAACTGCTGATGAGAAAAGGTATTTAGCAGTTTATATTTACTAAAATAATTGCATTTCCATGTTGTGTGTACTGTGGGAGACCAGATATAGTGAATGCAGGGTCCAGGGTTTTGTAACACTTTAAGTTTAAAATTGCAAAGGTTAAAGTAAGACTAAACGCAGTGATTTGACAGTTTCCCAAACAGTCACATTCAAGGCATACCATGAACGATAAGACCTCATTCACACAGGCATCCTTAAGTGTACGCCCATGCGAAGACCATGTTTCCCCACAGTGATGCACAGGTTTTCTGTGCATCCCCACGCAGTCCATCCCACTCATGTCAAATGGGATGCAGAAGCTACATGAACACATCCACTGCTTCATTTTGACAGCTATGAAGGTGGGGGAGTATGACTCCAAATGGTCCTCGCACAAGTTTACGCTTAAGTACGCCAGCGTGAATGAGACCTAACTGCTACAGTTGCTTGTGCTCTCAACTGAACTGTCAAGCTATCAAATGACTGGTGTCATAGCTGATCACGTGAAGCACCATGGCAACTGCAGATCAAACAAAGGCTAACATGACAGCTTCCTTGGCTGTAAAGAATATGAGGGTTTTGTTCTTCTTTAAGGTTAAATAAGCAAAATATTAGTGGTTGTTTGGAAATTAAAACAGTTGCTATTAAATATAAAAAACTGCACTTAGAGGTGCATGTACATACCCAAACCAACCTGAAGTCTGGGCTGCTAAAACTTATTCTCAGGCTGTTCTAATGAGGAAATGTATCTGGTAGTATCTTCTACTAATTCCTGCCTCCTGCACTTTCCTAGTGTCCATATCTATAGCAGACTGTCTTACTGGGCAACAGGAATGTGAATGAGGTGAGATGGGGCAGGTAAGTTTTAAAATGGCCCAAAATGTCTCCATAGCAGGGAGACTGCAGGCTGCTGTGGGTATGTGTAGGCACCTTCAGGTATAGGCAGCAGAATTGTTCATGTAACAGAGACACTTTACATTCTTTAAAGCTAAACACCAGGAAGACACTATTTTTGGACATTTAACTCTTTAAATGTATTTTTAGATAAATTACAAAATAAAAAATAAATTGCCTCTAATGATTGCTGTCCAATGTGTGGCTGGTGCTGTATTAGGCTAAACTATTAGCTTCATTCATACTGAACACTAATGCAAGTGCCAATCTTTTGGTACTGAGTTCTGTCTATCATACTGTAAATAATAGTGGAGCTCTCATTCTCCACCCTTATCTCTCCTTGTCCATTCACAAAACATCTTGTGTTCTTTTCACAGAGGGGGAGAAGAGTGGGGATGATTGTCATTATCTAGTTTGCTTACAGTAGCTGCTATTAGTGCTACCTTCATTGTGCATTCCCCACAAAAGTGGGGCAGATTCATAGATGCCTTTCTAGCTGATCCAATTCAAAATATATACTACACAGGTAACAAAAAGAAAAATGTGTGTGAGAAATGTAATGGAGGTAATCTTCAAAAAATATCTCAGCTGTACACAAGCCTACAGTGGGAAGATTGCCAAATTGGATCACAGGAGCAAATAAGGCTAGTCGCTGGAAAAGGAGATTTTAGGAAGCCTCTAATTGTCTGTAATAATCTCTAATCCAGGGATAAGAGTAAATGGCTTTAAAATAAATAGACTACTCTTCAGATGTCAAGGCAACAATCTCATCAGAAATCAGCATTCTATGTTCCATTCTGTCTGTTCCTGACCAATGTCAAAGACAGTGGAAGAAAGATGTTGGGCTCAAAGCAGTAGGTGCTCTCAGCCAAGTCTTAACAGTATAGAGAGAATGATTCTCTATAGGCTGCTCTTCCAGAAGTGGTGGTCAAAAGGTTGGTTCTTTTCTAGAGCAGGGCCTGGGTGTGCAAAGGAGAGAAGAGCCAAAAGGAGAATATAAAAAGTACAGATTTAATTATATTCAGATTCTCATATTATAAAAAGCTACTACATCTCAGGGTTTCAAATAGCCCCCCCCTTCCTCTTGCTGCTGTTGAACTGTGTACTGGACTGATAGAAATAGTGGGGTCATTCTGGCTTTATTATCTGGCCTCCAGTTTTCTCATTGGGCTCAGTGGAATATTATGAATCCCTTGGATTGGATTTGAAGCTGGCTCCACTCAGCCTTTTCCTCTCCCATGTATTATGGGGACTTCTTCAATGTCTAGTAATAATTTAATACTCTAGTAGCCCAATCACTTCGACTGTGGTTGCTATATAAGTCTAAATTCAGCCTTGCCTCTTCTATTTCTCACAGGATCTCCTTCTTTGAAGACCCAGCATTTGTCACCACCTTTTCTTCCCTGGCTTTTTCTTGGTGGCATTCTAACAATTTCACTATCCTTTCTTCTTTCCATGTAGGCTCAGCGTTCATCTCGTTTGACTATCTACTTGCCCATAAAAATATTGCCCATCATTAAGTATATCATTATTTACAAAGCAGACAATTTTTATGCCTCACGTGCTTTATCTCCAACCTCCCCAGTAATGTTTTTTTAGAGAATCTGGGTGATTTCCCCAGGGGAAAGGGGTTGACTTCTGATTTGTATAGTTCTTTTTGTAGTACTCATTTCTCTGACTCCCTTCCCTATGTGAATAAATGGGAAAGTGACTGCGCTGCTAAGTTTTCCTCTGGCACATCATGCTAGTTAATCTATGCAAATGTACCAAATTGTTATCCAAAGAGAGAAACCACCCTTAAGATCCTTAATAGATGGTATTATACACCCTTTACACTTCATGCTATATATCCTGACATCCTGGAGTTTCTGAGTCGTGCTTCAGGGGCTGTTCATCCAGAGGTTCACTGGTACATATCGTTTGGGATTGGGATAATGTGACATCAGTGTGATATTAAATTTCTGCAATTGTCTCTCATATTTCAGGTCAAACACTATCTCTGATGCTTCTATTGTGCCTTCTTTTTTGCAACTATCTCAGGTGATCTGCACCATGAGGAGAGAGTCATCCTCAACTTAATTGGCTATAGTTTTACTTTGGAAATCCTCATCGCAAAACTTCCAAAAGGAAGCCTCAAGGTACCTAAGTATGTGATCAAACGAAAAAAATGTATACCGGGAATCCCTAGACACCAAGCCAATGAGAAACTACCAGAAATAGACTAGTAATGGACTCAACCGGAGTAGGGAATTTGTATAAATGTGAATACTGAAGGATAATGATACAAAGGAAAAGGTGATCAATGGCGCACGGAAACTTCTTTATTAACATAGACAAAATTAAAAGTTAAAAACAAAACACAAAGAATCGTACCACACTCCAGAGGTCCCATGTATGTAAATCCCCATAAGGGACCTCTGGAGTGTGGTACGATTCTTTGTGTTTTGTTTTTAACTTTTAATTTTGCCTGTGTTAATAAAGAAGTTTTCATGCGCCATTGATCACCTTTTCCTTTGTTTGTATCATTATCTTTCAGTATTCACATTTATACAAAATTCCCTACTCCGGTT